TGTGGCTTCCCAGGGGGCCTGGTGGCGGGACCTCAGATAACGACCTCGCTTGCTGCACCCTCGCGCCGACCCCGGGCTTTTACACACAGAACGGTTTCTGCGCGCTGCTGGGCTCTGGCGGCGTTATGGCGAGTTGGGGGAAGGTCGGGAACCCGGAGTTGATGGCCCACGCGAGAGCGGGGAGGCATTGGTGCACGATTGTTCACGGGGGAATGCCACAGCATGCGAGTGAGGCCTTGACCCTGCCGGGTGCTGGGCACATGGCCCCAGCCCCCAGCCCACCCCAGCGTTTCAACACTTCCCACACAAACTGTTTCAGCCTTTCATTTAGAAAAAAGGGTTTGAATAAGATTTCCCTGGGGTCAAATGGGTCCTTCATTTCCACAAGGAACACCAAACCAATCAGGCAGGCGTTCATTTTTTTCTGGATGGTTTTGGTTTCGCAACCACATGAAAAACCAACTATTTTCTCCTTGTCTAATACTGCCCTTGGCAGAGCCCAGGAGGAAGCGAACGTGCCCCCGGGGAGAACCCACTCCTCTTCGCGCACACACAGGCATGGTGCAGAACATGGAGACTGCATGAGAGAAGAGCCTTTACACAGCCAATCGCCCCGATACACATGCCAGGCCTTTGGAGAGAGGCCCAAGCCTGGCTCTCAACTTGACAGAGGGCAATTTTGATACCAGACATGTGAGCAATGGGAGCTCCCTGGCCAACCCCAACCCTCCCCATTGGACACCAGGGGCCTTTTGGGAAAGGCAATGCAAAGCTAGGGGCTGGACATTCCCGGCAGCTGAGCTAACGAGTGCCCAGCAGCTGGGAAGGCGAAAAGCTCCGGGGGCGTTTGTACCTATCTTGTGAAAGAGCTCCGGGAGCTGCACCTCCACCTTTTCCCTCTGGAACATGTGGTACTCGGCTTGCTCGCAAATCGGCGGGATGAGGTTAAACTGCCGCGCCACCGAATAGGCCTCCTGCAAGCGGAGAGAGGGGAGCAAATCAGCATCAGGCCCCACTGCCCCCCAGAGCCGGGGAGACCCCACCGCGGAGGGGCAGGGGCTTTGGGGGCCCCCGCCTGGCTGGGCAGAAGGAGGGACCTTGGAACTTGGAGCGAGCGACCGGTGCAGAAACGGAATTCATTCGGTCCTGCGGCCACACTGGGACTGGAGGGCCCAGCCCATGGGAGAGTCGCCCACTGGCTGGCCCGGGGGGACTTTGCCTTTAAAGGGCACGAGCCCAGCTCTGGGGTCTCTGACTCCGAACGGGATTGCCCACATCCAGACTGGAAGGTTGTAGGAGGGAGGCGCTCCAGTGACCTGCCCCGTGCCCGTCCCTGTCCCGTGCCAGCATGGCCACTACGGCCCTGCCCCGACTCAGCTGGAAGGGACTCGAAAAGGCCCAGATTTGCCCCCAGGGCTGCCGAGCTGCTGCCCTGGAGACAGACCGTCGGGGCTGCCACCACGTTTGCAGCGGCACGTGGCCAGGGGGACACGGAGAGGAAAAGGCGACGGGCTGGAGAGTCTCAAGTCAAAGGACTGAGCTCGCAATCACGTGAACTCGCCCAGAAGTCGAAGCAGATGGAGCCAGCAAACCTCGCTGAGCAGGGAGGCGCTGGGGGGAATCTCTCAGCAGGCGGCTCATGCTCGTGAGGGGAGAGCAGGGTGGGCTCACGTCACACAGCGAGGACAGGGCTAAGCCGCTCAGGTGTCCTCACCAGCCCCAAAGCCGCTGCCCGGCTGCCTCTGAGTGCACCTCCCTCCCTGGCCAGGGAACCCTTTCCCCCTGCGGCATGAGCCTGGCACACGCTGAGGAGTCGGCCTAGCAGAGCTAAAAATAATCCCAGCTAAAATACGCCTGCAAGCAGTTGGCTCCTGTCTAAGTACATCTCCATCAACAAGCACTTCCCCCCCACACCGCAGAGAGCAACTGCAGTCCGTGCTGCGTCAGCGGCCCGCCGGCCGTTTCTTCATGGCGGGTCTTCCGGCGCCTGCACTTCAGCAAGGGGCCCGCGCCCGCGCCCCACACGCGTACCATGATCTCCATGGAGCTCCAGCGCGACGTCCCCCAGTACATAGCCATTCCCTGGTTGATAACGTGGGTCATTGCTCGCACCGTCTCTGTTCGAAGGGAAGGGAAGGGAAGGGAAGGGGGGTTAGCCGGGCGTGCATTGCTAGGGCGACTCACTACATCAAGCCTTTGACACCAAAAGGAACGGGGGCTTGGACGGCACAGACATCTTGCAAGCAGTGTACTTCCAGACTTCCAACTTGGAGACGGGCGTTTTACAAGGACATCAAAAGACAAAACAAACAAACAAACTAACCCCCAAAAGCCCACCCGGAAGAGAGACTGAAACCAACTCCCCGCACGTAGAACTTGCCCAATCGGCCAAGAATAATCACATGCTAAAATAAACCAACCAACAACTGCCAGAGAGAGGGATGGAAAGGGACTGTTTCATGGCTGAAACGAGGGTCAGGAGAAAGGGAGGAATGTGAGTTATGATGCCGTGAGAGCTGAGTTTTACTGAGTTGGTTGTTTTCCTCCAAGCTAAATCCTCCTCCTCCTCCAAAAAGCAACTATTTGCAACGGACCAACAAAATGTAACGAGGTCACAAGCAAACGAGTGAAGCGCAATACAGAACAGTGGAAACCAATGTCCAGTTTCACGGATGCGCACACTCTCTTTTGAGAAGGGAGGTGGGGACGGACAGGAGTCACAGTATATATATGGCACCCACGTTCGGAGGGAGGGGGGAACATCTTCAAGATGCTACAAACAACAGACCTAAAGCCTGGGTTTTCCAGCTGAACAGGGGAAAACCAGGTCCAAGTCACCAGTCTGGAAGAGCTGTCCCAGCAGGGGAGACATTAAAAAAACACAACCACCAATGACAACAAAAGCAACAGCCACAATGTTTCTGGGAGCAGGGCTGGACTTTTTCTGCACGCGTGAGAGCGGGGAGGGACCCAGAAACAGCACAATGCTTGTGCAATTCCCAGCACTTTCCAATCTGGGCGTACTGTCACCACCGCTCTGCTGCACGGAGATCAATGAACCCAACTCCCCGGTCCCGTCAGCTCTCCCTGGGCAACTAGAGACCAGCTCAAACTCCACCCAGCGACTGGAATCAGAAGATTTCAGAGACTGGGGAATACGGGAGGAGCTAGGACAGATGTGTGTTAAGGATGGTTAAAAAACCCTTTATGCTTACAGCTCTGGGTTCACAGCGTTGGGGTTACAGGTTAGCTGCTGTGAACTTTGGAAATGGAATAAGAACAAATTCCTCATTAGAAAACCTCTATTGGCTATGTAAACCAAAGGACAAGTTGTCTTAGTTCCAGCACCTCTACCAGCTAAGTTTACAAACTTAATGGGTTCCAGCAACCAGCTGCAAAGGGTCAGATGTTTCTGTTTTGAGAGTTCTCTCAGGGGTATTTGGTGGGTTTGCCCTGTGTTTGCCAAAGGCAAGCTCCAATACATTGCTTGCAAGGTTGGTTGCGAATGTTGGTTGCGCAAGGAAAGACTGCGAACAAGTGTTTCTAAAGACAATCCATCGGCGCCCTGAAAACACCAGCCTGATCTGAGCTGCAATTCAGTGGGATTGTACAAGCGCAGGCTCACACACACACAGACAAGACAGGCGCATGCGAAGTGTATCCCTCTCTTCGGTCTGTTTCACGGTGGGAAGCGGCCAGTGCGAGGTGTTGGTCTAAGAGCAACGCTAACCATGCTGGAGGATAAAGGCAGACAGGCAATGCAAGCCCTGAGGCTCCCGGCAACACGGGCCCAAGTGTTCTGAATGGCTACTGACTCGCCCTGTCCTCGCTGCGTCAATTAGATTTGGAGACGCACTCTTCAGCGCGGGCTCAACAGCCCCGTTGCTGACACTGGCCCTCAGCAGCTGGGATTTTTCTTAGTGTTAAAAGGGCTTCAGAAAGTAGCCGAGAGTGAGAACATGAAGTTCTCTGACCTGTCTCCACGACCGCCATGGGGCTGCTGCCCGCACATGGCAAACTTCGCCTTGGGACACAAGACGCCGTCCTGCCAAAGATGCTAATTACATTTGTGACATCACTAAGGGTGCAGAGCTTCATTGGGCAGTGGCTTCATGACACAAGCCTAGCAGCTGCCACCCACGTGTGCCCCGTAGCGAGTTCTCTGTCCGTGGTAATGTCACCCAGCTCGCCCTTACCGCCGAGTCAGCCCTGTGCGTCTCTCGGCTGCTTGGGGAATTGCCGCTCCGCAGAAAGCGGAGAATATTTTGCACTCTCCAAAAATTCTCATATCTGGGCTGAGACCCATTGTCATATCTGAGCCTGGACGTTTTTGGCTCTGAGGAAAGGATGGTTAGGAAATTCTCAGTATACAGGAGCAGGTAGATGGGGAGAGTCCAGATGTCTAGAGCTTGGACTTTCATGAAAACAGATTTAGATTGGTAACAATTTCTGGAAAGGCCAGGAGTGGGCGAGGCAGCAGGCCAGCCTTCTAGCTGTCCGGGGCAAAACCTGCTTGTGGCACCCGGTCCAAGTAGCTGGAGGCTCCATCAGGGCAGGGCGTGGGAGGCCGCCTCTGCCCAAGACACGGGATGAAATCGTGACCTTACTGATGTGGAGTTTCGCCATTAACTTCAGTGAGGCCAGGTCCTCATCCCGTCTCTGCAACTGTCACAGGCCAGGAGTATTTAAAGAAAACACTCCAGCCAAACACCCTCGGCCCCCGGAGAGGCAGAGAAACAAGGGTAAACACACCCAATCTTCTCTTCTATCCTTCGCCACAACCTGCCTCTTGGTCTCTTGTTTGAAGTCTCTGCCCCAGAGAGCTTGCAGTTTGCTTATATTCAGCTTCCATCTAACCTGCTACGGATACCACATTAGCAAAACCCACCATCCTCCTCATTTTGTTTCTCTTAGCTTACGTGAGGCCAGTGAAAGAGGTGCCAGAGAGCCGGAGTCTCAATCTGCCAGTTACCACAGGAATTTCTCGCTTCACTTCTATACCTCAAACACACTGCTGCTGCCCCGTTGCGTTGCTTTCTTTTATTGTTTAGAAACACTGTTGGGCGTCCCTGTCCAGGCTCTCAGCCAAGGGGGAACCATGCAGCCTGCGTCGGAAGCCAAGGCATATACTCATGCCGAGGAGAGGAGCAAAAAGAAAAAGTCCCACCAGGCTCCACATGTCCATCCCATGCACAGACACAATGCGACAATTTAGCGAAGTGCTGGGCTTGTGCCAACTAAAGGGTTCCATAGAAATAAAATCCGGCAAGTCTGTAATGTCTCTCGCAAAAGATCTCAAACCATCACCAGGAGGAAGAGGAGCCCTTCGTAAGCAGGAGGAGCAAGGACTGTCAGAGCTGGGCAAAATGGGCATTTCTTACGTTTCAGGAACAGACTCAAGAGGCTGCTTACAGCTGGTGTCACATTTGGTCATTAGCTGCATTCCACTTGCCCCTTTAATTTATCAAGTCCCCTTGGCATGGAACATGGAGACTTACTTTCCCAGTTCCAGTCACTAAGGCCTGAAGAACCATATGGAAAGTAAATGGCAGTCGGGGTTCACTTCAGTAATGAAAAGGAGCAGAAGCCAGAATGCGCCTTTGGTACATATTCACAGCTGTCAAAAATGATTTAGCCGGTTATAGAGCTACCCCAGTCTATTAGCCTTTCGGTCCCAAACTAGTGCTGGTAAAGGGTTGCACCCACATCCCTGGAAATGTGACTCCAAACAGGTCTGAAAATTCTGCCCCTTGATTTTAATGTAGTATTTGGTCAAAATTTGCCAGCACATGGAGCATAGTTGCAGAGTTTTGCCCAACCCTAGTACATACTCATTAACAAAAATTAATCCAGCTGCATTCCTTACGCCAGTCCAAGCACACTGAAAGGGGTGAAGAAATCAGCATAACACGGACTAGTCAGTTACTGAAACAACAACTTTGGTAGCCAATTCATTCAACTTACCAATCCATTTTTTTTCTGATGCGAATATAAACTTTGCAGCATTCCACCCACACCGGGGGCTTTACAGGGAATAGCCTCATGGACTCTAAAACCTCTGGGGGAGGAATACAACAACCTACTCGTTCGCCTGGACTCCTGATTTGTTCACCTTGATCCCTGAACTGCTCTGCTCCAACATCACAAGTATGTTAGGAACAGGCACCATGTTATTTTAATGAACCAACAAATGAGGCTTTAATGCAGAATTTCAAACTTAGGGGCCTTCCTGTTGGACAGACAAGCATAGCAGAAAATGGCACATCATGCACTGAACAAAGGAAAGGAACAAAAGAATGAAGTGACATGAATCGAGGGAAGAGAGAACTAAACTGTTTTGCTTTTTTACTTGCAAGATGTTCTCAAAGGCAAGGGGTTTTTTTTGTTTGTTTGTTTTCCTTTGTGCATTTTATGGAGAAGTTTGCCATTGGGAAAAGGAAATAGTGTAAATAAAAATACAGAGTCCGTCCCATAAAATGCTGTTTGGACACAGAAGTCAATATTCGGACGGTGGGTACGATGTACCTTCTATGATGAATGTTCTTGACTTGGAAGAACTAAATGGGTCCCCTGGTGATAAAAGAAAGATTTAAAGAGACCAGAGTTTACAACTGCTGGCATATTACAAAGAACGGCATGACAAAAGGCTACGGGGCTGGAGGAAAAATCATCCCCTACCAAAGCATCATTAAAATGGGGGAAGGCGGGGGATTATTGTTGCGGGAGGTTTGTGGTTGGCTTGTTTACATATGCTGAACACATTAACACATGAAACAATTGCTACAGAATGGAAAACACACTGCAACTAAAAGCCTGTCAGCGAAACCATGATTAAAACACTCAAAAGATCAATAAATAAAATTCAATGAAAAAATTCAGACCGGTTTGACTCGTAAGATGTTACACAAACAAGGAATGAGCTTTGTAATCCAGAAAAGGGACAGGACGTGAAACGAGAGACGTTAGAGCGGCTGCCCGTGCCGCAAAGGGACGCACTGCTAGCACAGCACCCTGGGAAATTATGATAATGAGAGGAAGCCTAGTTATTCATTGTACTACCCTAGTACCTAGGAGCCTGGTCACGGGGACCCTTTGTGCTGGGTTCTCGGCAAACACCAAAGGAAAAGGGCGCTCATGCAGAGAGAAGCTTGTATTTCCTCGAGTCCCCGTTCAGCCTGCAGCACAAATCCCAATGGGACAAGGATAGCTTCTCGTTAGCCCTCGGGGGTCCTCTGGGGGCCCAGCCCAGCCCCCAACACTCATTCAGGCCCGGGAAGCCTCAGTGTAAGAGTTTCCCCATGACGTCGAGCAAGGGGACCCTTCCCCGAGAAGCCCTTTGCCTGCGCCCCTCTATTACACTCGGCGGGAGAGGAAGAGGCTGTTCTGCTAGTGAAGCCAGGGTGGTCTGGTGGCCCGTGGCCAGCGCTACACTCCTGAGAGGTCGCTCCCGACTCACGGACACAAAGAGCGAGACCGCTGTGAATCCGGCAGCCTCAGCGGCCTGCTCCCCCGAAGGGGGCGACAGAACCTACCTTCCATGGGCGTGTTGGGATCGGGTCTGTTAGCGAACACGACATCCACGTACTCCAGCTGCAGCCGTTCCAAAGAAGCCTTCAGCCCTGGGGAGGAGCGAATAGGGACAAGCGACCGTCAGGCACGTCCCCCCAGGGAGCACCCTGCTTCTGCCGCAGTAGCCAGACCTCCGAGCTCCTTCAAACCCAGGCTCGGGAGAGCTGCTCCAGACATGCCCACAGTCCAGAGATCACGGATTTGCTCAGAGGCTAACCCAGGGCATTTCAAGAAAGCACATGTGTGAAGTGAAGCGCGCTGAGTTCAGCGGGGATACTCCGACGCGTAACGTTAAACGGGGATACTCCGACGCGTAACGTTAAACGGGGATACTCCGACGCGTAACGTTAAACGGGGATACTCCGACGCGTAACGTTAAACGGGGATACTCCGACGCGTAACGTTAAACGGGGATACTCCGACGCGTAACGTTAAACGGGGATACTCCGACGCGTAACGTTAAACGGGGATACTCCGACGCGTAACGTTAAACGGGGATACTCCGACGCGTAACGTTAAACGGGGATACTCCGACGCGTAACGTTAAACGGGGATACTCCGACGCGTAACGTTAAACGGGGATACTCCGACGCGTAACGTTAAACGGGGATACTCCGACGCGTAACGTTAAACGGGGATACTCCGACGCGTAACGTTAAACGGGGATACTCCGACGCGTAACGTTAAACGGGGATACTCCGACGCGTAACGTTAAACGGGGATACTCCGACGCGTAACGTTAAACGGGGATACTCCGACGCGTAACGTTAAGCACGTTAAGTGGGGATACTCAGACGCGTCACGTTAAGCACGTTAAGTGAGGATACTCAGACACGTAATGTTAAGCATGTTAAGTGGGGATACTCAGACGCATAACATTAAGTGGGGATACTCAGATGCGTAACATTAAGCATGTTAAGTGGGGATACTCAGACGTGTAACATTAAATGGGGATACTCAGATGCGTAACATTAAGCATGTTAAGTGGGGATACTCAGACGTGTAACGTTAAGCACGTGAAGTGGGGATACTCAGACACGTAACGTTAAATGGGGATACTCAGACGTGTAACGTTAAGCACGTGAAGTGGGGATACTCAGACACGTAACGTTAAATGGGGATACTCAGACGCGTAACGTTAAGCACGTCAAGTGGGATACTCAGAGGGTTATGTTTAAGGGACAGAGTCATATGCAGGGTCAAAGCAGACATGCCCTCTCTCACCTTCTATGATGTGTTTTCTGGACAATCCCCTCTCAGTCTCTGCTCTGAAAAACAACAGGTCCACGTTAGCAGTGTACAGCGCAACTGGGCCGTTTCCGGCTGTTGGTGAGACTGGCCCGTGGTACTTACTTTCCTCCCCAGAAGATTTTGGTGGTGATGACCAGGCTGGAGCGCCTGCCAAGAGACACAGAAAGACACTGCATAAAATGTGCCAAGCCAAGGTTCACACGCTCTCTTTTGCTTTGGGGCGCTTCTGGGTGCCCACCCCAATACTCACCCCCCAGAGGAGACTCGCCTACAGCGTCCAGGGACGTCCCATCTCACTGCTCTGTGGTCTGCGGGGAGCTAGAGCCAAGCACTGCTCCCTGTCATGCTGGGGCAAAACCAGACTAATTCTAATGGCCTCGCAGTGGAGTCACTGCTGACTGAGCCCAGTGGAAGTGAGGAGAGTCTCAGGCCTTAGTGATACACTCAGCAGGTTGACCGGAGCCCTCCCCCAGCCCAGATCCGGGAGCTAACCCAGGGCATGAGAGAGCCGTCTGGAGGGCGAGGTTGCAACGCGTGAGAGCAGCGTCTAGGAGCACAAAGCCCAGTGGAAATCACAGAGGCACTTTGGGCTACCGGGCCAGACCCAAGGCTGGGACTTTCCAAAGTCGCTCTGCTTGCAGGCCATCCACCAGGCCATAGCATGGTGACTGTTAGGAGAAACTGCTGCCTGTGCTGCCTCTCGGGAGCTTACGGAAATAGCCGCCCGGGTGCCAGTGCCTGCTCCCGGCTCAGGGGCTGTTTGAAGAAAAGGCTTTATCCGCAGGTCGTAATAAAACCATTTGGGCTCTTCCCCCCGTGTCGCTGGCAGCTAAAGTCAGACCATGCCCCACAGCGGTGCCCACAATCCTTTCCGGTGGTGGAACACGGGCACTGGCAATGCTCCTGGAGCAAAAGCTGCCACCATGTGACACGAGGCGTCTGCGCCACAGCCCAGGCACGCCGAGCCTGAGGAGACGGAAAGCATCGCGTGTGACCGCAGGCATCAAGTGTCTCCAGCCACAGCGGTCTGGCCATGCGGCTACTCTGGCGGCCTAAAACCAGTGTGCGTGGCGAGACGGGCCGGGGCGCTCGGGGGGCTATAAAACTACGCAGCCAAGAGGCACAAATGGCACAGAGCAAACTGCTCAAAATGTTGGAAAAAACAGAGGAGAAATAGGCACGGGACGGATGGGAGGGGCATTCCCCGTTTTTGACAGCCCAGCATTCAGCAACGAAGGGGTTAAACCCAGAGGAGTGGGAAGCCAGGAAGTGCTGGCAGGGAGCCTGCAGAGCCAGTGGGAGGAAAGTGAGAGGTTGGAATTGAAAGCTGAAGTTCTGTGCGTGGTCTGGAAGGCTATGTCTACACTGCAGGCTTCTGGCGCAAGAACTGTATTGCACAAGAACACACCCACACTGCCATGTGCTTTTGTGCAAGAGCCTCTATGGCAGTGTGGATGGTCTCCTGCGCAAGAAAGCTCTGATGGCCATTTTAACCATAGGGGCTTCTTGTGCAAGAAACCCCTGTGCCCCTCCACACTGAGCTCTTGGGCAAGAGGGCTTATTCCCTGTGGGGAGAGGAATAACTCTTGCGCAAGAAGCCATCTGTTCTGACGCTTTACTGTAAATTTACTTGTGCAAGAACGTGCGTGCAATGGAGAGGCTCTGCACGTTTTTGCGCAAGAATGTCCATTCTTACGCAAAAAGCCTGAAGAGTAGATGTAGCTGGAGAGAAAAAGCTGGGAGAGACGGACCCAACCTTGGGAGCCAGACATGGACTTTCTAGCACTAGTCACGTCTAAAATGGACGGAACCTTGGAATAACACGTGAGTAGACAGGGAATGTGCAGTTAGACACAATCAGGGTTGGTGTTTTTGTCGTTTCTGGTTTGTTAACGCTGTGCTGAGCCCAAGTTCTCCTCCCCCTCACTGTAACTGAAGCTGAATCCCAGGGAAGCAATTCTCTGTGTTTTAATCTGTTTTTCTCAGTTGCTCTAACACCTGGCAACCAAGTCTGCTTTACCAAGTGTGTCTTTTTTGTTTGGTTAATAAAATCACCTTTTTAAAGACTCTGCTGATTCCTGTGTCCTCTAAGGCAGGAGGGTTGGTGGCACGTGGCTGGGACTGAGAGGTCAGCTCTGAGAAATTACAGTTTGCTTTCAAGCTCTCTCCTGAGGGAGGTGAAAAAGCTGGGGGTGCGCCGCTGGGAGAAATTCCCAGGTGGGTCTTCTGGGCTCAGAAAAGAGGCTTTGCACTTGGGCGGTGATAGCCTCCCGCCCAAGGCCAGGGAACCCGTGACGGGGGAGTTTGTAAGCAGGAGCCTCTAGCGGCAGGGGATTTATAAAGTCTCTTGTGGGCCCCCCGCCGTCTGCACTCAACACGCCCGAGTCGGGGGAACAGCCGTGACAAGGCGCATGGAGTGCTGAGGTTTGCCATTGAGCGCTGACAAGAGTGCTCCTCACGGGATTTGCTAATAAGTCAATTGCCTCTAATTACCGGGAGCTGCAGTCACATGGTAATTAACGCAACGAGACAATCTTGGTGGGACAAGTTGACAAGTATAAATAATTGAGTGGGAAAAACGTCCCCGGCAACCAGAGAGAGGGTTGAGAATTGTGGCATTCTGACAGGAAGGAAATACAGACCTTCTGACAGCGCCACGCTGATGAATGATTCATGCACAACTGCAGCGCGCTGGCATTTGAAGTCACTCTCCTAGTGGCTTTTACAAATGGAAATTGTTTCAAACCTCCCCCGAAGAAATGCCACTGGGCTCTGATCCAGCCGGCACAGGGGAGGGGTGCCAGGGTGGGCTGCCCTGACAAGCCCTAAGCGTCTCCATCAGGAAAGGGAATGGAGATGTACTGGGGGAGGGGGGAGGGGGGGACTGGGATTAAGAGACCTTGTCTTGCTTGAATCTGGCATGCACACTGGGCCCCAGAGCTACCCGAAGACTGGCACAGGGTTATCACCAAATGCGGCCACAACAGCTCTCTTTTCACCCACAGGATCAAGTCCAGGACAGGCAGCAGCAAAAAAAAATGACTTTACCCTGCCTCCCTCCTGCCCCACAGGGAGCACCGCTAGGGACCAGAGAGAGGATTTCAGGCTCCGTGTTCCAAATGTAGTGCTCCCGGATGCACCACTCCCAGCAAATCACAGCAGTTATGTGACTCGTCACCTTGCTATCCACCTGTAATTTCCTTCCTTCCACACCACACATCCCTGCTGCCATGATCACTGAGGCCTCGTCTAGACTGCAGGCTTCTTGCACAAGAGCGTGTCCACACTGGAAAAGCGTATCAAAAAAGCGATGCGCTTTTGCGCACGAGAATGTCCTGACTGCCTGGACGCTCTCTCAAAAGTAAGCTCTGATTGCGACGCATGGAATGGCCACCAGGGCACCTGTGCGGTTTCCTCTTTCCGCGCAAAACCCCCCTCTTCCCCGTCCACACACACCTTTTTCCGAAAGAGCTCTTTTGCAAAAAGGCTTCTTCCTCGTAGAATGAGGGATCCCAACGCCGGAAAAACCCCTCTGTTCTTTTGATTTTTTTGCGCAAAAACACGCTTAAGGTGTGGACGCTCCACAAGTTTTCGGAAAAATGGCCGTTTTTCCAAACAATCTCTGTTGTGTAGACATAGCCAGAGTAGTTATCAAGGAAACTGCCCAGGGCATAAAAGGAAAGCACTTTGGGTCTAAAAGGGCACGTGACCTAGGGAAGAATAAAATTACCTCCAACCTTTCTTCTTAATAATATTTCCCAACACCACTTCAGCCCTGCAACAAGAGCGAGAGAAACAAATGACGGTTTCATCGGAGCGGTATAGAAATGAGGTCTAACCCATTTTGGACATTGAACTACATGGGATACCTCTAGGGTCCAACCCCTGGCGTTAGGATACCAAGGACAGCGAGACAATTGGAGGCAAAAGATGCTTCCCCATCCGCTGCCCACTCGTATGCGTCTCCTTGGGCGCTCAGGCAGGGCTGTGCCTTGGTCAGTCATTGGCACTGCAACGCAGGATCAAGTGACAGCTGGAATTTTCTTGGCATTTGCCAGGGGCGCAGATAAAAATATCCTGGCCACAGGGAACGCGATTTCCCCTTCCTTTGCACGGCACGGCGATGTACAAACCCTCTCTCTGCAGCTGCTTGGTACACGGCTCCACAACAGCGAGGGGACCAGAATGCAACAGTTATTCATACCCTCCATCGACCAGAGCCACATCCTCCTGGGAGGTTCACTTAGCCCTCCCCTCCCTTCCTCCCAAGCCTACTTCTCATGGGGCTCGTGGCAGCCGCAGGCCTTCAAGCTCAGTACTACGCCACCCAGCGCCTCAGCTTCTTTTGTCCTGACCAGCGGAGCCCGCCAGTGCAAGGAGAGGGCTGGCTGGGCAGAACGGGATGTGTTCCCATTCCCGGAGCTGAGCCCACGAGCCATACGGTGGCTCGAGGCAGATAACTGCAGGACTTGGCTATTCAGATGTGTCCTGAAATGGCCCCTTTTCTTTAGGGGGAGGAAAGAGGCAAGAGAGATTCAGGGTGTTTGCTAGTGGGATGTCCCCCCATTTTCTCAGACAAGAGAGACAGTAGTTATGGGAGACGACAGCCAGAGGGGAGAGAGAGATTCTCCCTTCATACATAACCCCTCTCTCACCCACTCCTAGCCCAGAGACGGCTCTCCATTGCCTTCCTTCAGGAGTAACTCATAGCCTTTGCTCAGACCTGCTCCCTTTGACTTTGGCAGGCTGCTGCAGGACTGATTCCTCCAACATTTCTATTCTGAAATAAACGTGGGGCCTTGACATAAGAACTAGGGGTCACCAAATGAAATAAACAGGCAGCAGGTTTAAAACAAACAAAAGGAAGTTTTTCTTCACGCAGCACACAGTCAACCTGTGGAACTCCTTGCCAGAGGATGTTGTGAAGGCCAAGACTTTAACAGGGGTCCAAAAAGAGCTAGATCGTTTCATGGAGGTTAGGTCCATCAGTGGCTATTAGCCAGGATGGGTAGGGATGGTGTCTCTAGCCTCTGTTTGTCACAAGCTGGGAATGGGTGACAGGGGAGGGATTCCCTGGTCTGTTCATTCCTTCTGGGGCACCCGGCATTGGCTGCTGTCGGCAGACAGGACCCTGGGCTAGATGGACCTTTGGTGTGACCCAGTGTGGCCGTTCTTATGTTGATCATCGTGCTGGGTTTAATTTGTGAGGCTTGTTCCTATTGGGCACGGCTGTGCCCACCACCGGTAGGAGCCCAAGTTCCCGTGTGGCCCAGAGGCGAGGCAGCTACCTCCTGAGGTCTGGCAGGAACAGTCAGCGCGACTGAACGGACCTTCGCTTTTGGCCACAACAGGCATATTTTGTTCCTGGGCAATTTAATTCTGAATGGGCTATTTTTCATGAAAGCGATTAGACGCTACACTCTGTGTCTGAAGACACCCGGTGACTTTGTGTCTGGGGGCTCCAGACGGGAAACCTGACCCTTAATCATGGACATACCCAAAGAGACTCGCCTGACGCGTCATTTGATTTGTCTGCGTGGTGCAAGCGTCTAGGAATTGAAGCTGAGACGCCGAACGCTCAGACTGCGAGGGCCTTCCTTTCGCACAGCCACTGGAACGTTCCACGACACCACCATTCCCTCGCATTTTTCCACCCGTGTGCGGAATACATTTTGTTATGTGCACCAAAGCATGTGCGGACGTGCACCAGCAGTAGAAACAAGCTGCCAGCCGTGGGCACTTTGCTGATCAGCTGGGCAGCATTTGAATCTCTCCTGGGTGGTTGTCCAAGTGCTCAGTTTAATCGTTCTGGGTGCAGCTCACCCAGACGGCCAGCGGAGCTTGCTCTGAGCTAGGAAGGACGAGGACGTTCCCACTTCACAGGCTTTGCCGCAGATCAAATGCGCCCTGCACTGCTCCTGCTGCACTGCTGTCGCCATGCGTGCCCTGCATCGCTCTCCTCTTCGACACTGCACAGCAAACACCCCCCTCCTCCCGCATCCCACGGCTCCAGCGTTCTCCCCTCTACTAAAAACGAGCCATGGAAAATACTGAGAGATGTGGAAAGGATGGGGCTGCCCAACCCCCGGGCCCCTGCTGGCCCAGGCTGTCGCACACAAAGGCAAGAGACCGGCCAGCCCGGCCCGGTGGCGCACAGCCGGATTCGGAGCCCCTGCTAACAATGCGCCCGCAAATGCCACAGGAGCCTGGTGGGAGCCGGCACGAGGCCTCTGCCTCGTCTATTGTGTTTCCATCCGCAGCAGGCAGTGACATTTTGTTAACAACGGAGACCGGCTCAGTGGCTTGTCATTGATGGAATCTATGGCACCCCTCTCGGGCTGGCCGCAGACCCTCATTTTGCTTGGTCCCGGTGACACCTGTAAAGTGCTGGGCAAAGTCGGCGCCTGTTACACTAGTGATAGCAGCCCAAACACCATTGCCCATCCATTTGCACAAGCCAGATCCCCTGAAAACCTCGGCCTTCTGAATCTCCAGTTCTTCCGAGCGGGGTCCCATTTATCAGTTCAATCACCCCCCCTCGGTTCCTTAGCAATTCGCTTTGTCCAGGCAAGGGACATGGGGGCAGCTCATCTCTACTTGCATCCCCTGGTTAGACGCGTAGAAGGTACCTACTTCCCGGCAGCGTAGACCTCTGCTGTGTCAAACAGGTTAATGCCATTGTCGTACGCTAAAGTCATCAGCTGCTCTGCCATCTGCAAAGAGACATTTGTAACGTTTACGGCGAGCCCATCCTAGACAGCAGGAGCCCAAAACCCCTTGGCACGAGCAGCCGATCAACAAAACGTACGTGTCACACAGCCCACGGTAATCGCTTATTAGCTGCCTACAGCTGACCCTGTAAGTCGTTGATCTGATTATTTCAATGCCTAACTTTAGGCAGCCAGCTTTGAAAAGGTTGGCCTCACCGTGCGGAAATACTACGCAAATTGCACGTGATGCATTTTTCTGTACCGTGTGTTTTGTCCCATATCAGCAGGCACTCGGTAGTTTATGAATATAGAAGAGGGACCCTAAATACACACTGCAATGTGATTTTTCTCCTCCCTGTTTTATAATCCAGTGTTCAGAAACCTGATTCCAGGATATTAGTTCAGACTACAGTGGACATCTGCTGGCTCGGGAGAACTGTGATGGAAATATTGCATTGCACATACTTACTGAACAGAATGGAAAACGTGTCCTGAACCCACGGCTATAAAGTTGCCTTCTAATCTGTATTACCAGGAAGGAATACAGCTGCAGCATGTGTTTCAGAAATATTACCATGAACTGACTACATCTTCTGAAAGAGTCTGGCTTCACAGAAACAACCCAACTGAAAAACGTCACATCCCCATGAGATGCACGTCCCAACGCCCTTGTACAATGTGACAGAACTGTACCTGGTTTCTGGGAATGTTTGCTGGAATAAAAATCAGGTGATAAATTCAGCAGTGTTTGTGTTTACCACAGCAAATCTGTTTACAGACTCGGGTGTTTGTAGAAAGTAATTTGAGACTATGTGCTCAAGATGAATTTCGAGCCCTCACACACAACTTTTAGTAAAGAAAGGCTGGTGCTAACACTTACACTCACCGAGTCAGGTATCAGAAAAACTACCACGTGACCCGTGTGTCCAGTCAAACTAACCAATGCACTTCAAGTTTTGAACGTCAGGTAGTTGGAACAAGCAACTCATGAGCAAACTACTCCCGGAACAATTGTGAAAAATATTTGGTGAATAATTTCCAAAAACAAACGAAATGCAAACCAATGATGACCTACAAATTCTTTGCTCGGCAGTAAGTACTAGTCCTGGTGGATAATAATTAGCCAAGGAAAGGCTACATTTTGTTTCTTTTGGCCTTTATCATAACCATGAATCTAGCTAATCTGAAAAGCAACTTGAAAGATGTCAGACGAACCGGAATAGTTAGGCATCTCTGTAGTGAAAATAGGCAAATCATATGGAATCGTTATGCATTATGAAGATTTCCCATGACATTGGTAGATGGTTTTGAAGTGACTTAAGACAACAGGCAGAACTAGAGTCCTGACTCTCCTGTCACTGATTTACAACACAATAGTGTTCAGAAGCAAACGGAGACTGAAACAGGAATGGTGTCTTTGACTTATGGAGTAGGCAGGGTAAAACACGGGACAAATCTCACCTCATCTGTAATCTGCCCTCCGAATGTCACCCATGTTCCTATAAAGGGAAAGAAGGAAAATACTCATTCTGCAAACGCAAAACACATGCAACTTTCATTTTGCTCTGAACGGCACTGAAGACACGGAAAAGGGAGCTCCAGAGCCAATTAGTCTGTAGGTCACTAACGGAGAAACACGGGACCAACCCAAACACAGGCAGCTAGCTAGGCAGCACCAATGTGGCCCTACTGATCTGCCTTCTGAGATGTGAAACATCCCTGCCCAGAGCCTTGGGATGGGGGACTGAACCCGCATCTCAGGGCCCTCCTTTCTCTCGTGGGTCACTTAAGCTACGTCTACACTGCACAGTGATTTCGGAAGAAGCTATTCTGGAACAGTTATTCCAAAATAGCTTATTTCAGAATAGCCTCAAAATGGGTCTGAGGCCGGCTTCCCTAATGTAGACGTGCTCTCTCGATTTAGAGCCCCAGGAGGAATCACTTAAAAGGGCCTTGGTGAGGGACTATTTCGAAATAGCAGCAGTGGAGCGTCTACACGGGCCTTATTTCGAAATAGCTATTTCGGAAGAGGCGTTATTCTTCGTAGAATGAGGTTTAGAGATGTCGGAATGAGCCGTGCGTTATTTCAAAATTATTTCGAAATAACGGAATTGCCGAGTAGACGCTCACAGTTATTTTGGAATAACGGCCGTTACTCCGAAATATCTTTGCTGTGTAGACACACCCTTAGACGGTCTGCCTCTTTCTCTCATTGTGTTTGCCCAACTTGGGCAGAAGACTTGTCACCTGGATGGATGCTCCAGGGTACCAGCTGCTAGGGCTCTCCAGCACCTTCTTGCCAGGTCAAGTCCTCTCTCCAAACCGGGATGGAGCATTGTACTTCCACCCTTGCCAGCCAATTGCAACTCCCCAGCCAACCACCTGGAGGGAAGAGCCGACCAAACCACTTCCCAACTGCTAATGGAGACGAGTCTGCATGTGAAGACCCCTCTGCCTGACGTTACAGCACGAACCACCAGATCCGGAACCTGCAAGAGTTCATCTGTTTGCCATTTCCTCGGTGCAGATTTGCCGTATCTGTGCTACTCTGGAGAGTGGTTACCCAGATGCACCGAAGAAGCAGAACTCCATTCCCCCACCTGGCCAATTTGTTTCATACATCACAAAGAAGCCCGAGGGAGCCCAATTGTCCTTTGCAGGTCACGGCCGAGCTTTAAATGGAGGGTGGCCTTTGTCCTCACTGAGGGCTGGTGTCTTTGCAAGCCAAATTCTACTGTGATGCGCGCCGTGCCAAAGCGCTCGACAATCCTGTGCAGCAAATGCACAAAAGGTTCTTTCCACGTACTTCAAAACAGCATGAGCACCTGGCACTCTTGAGATGCAAAGAGATGCCTGTTTGTGAACCCAGCCCAAGTAAACCTGCCACCGCCATGCATCTGAATTCAGAAAAGCAATCCGGGACAGAGCCCTACGTGCACAGGAGGACTTCAGAGCCTGGTGATCATGCTAGTCTGGGAGGCCACGATCCAGACCGACAGGGGGAGACGCCGAGGGTTAGGACAGAACAGAAATCTGGTTGCTCAGGAACCAGCAGTTAGCAGGGAAATGCTGGATCCAGGTTCGGGATAGAGATGTCAGTGGTTATCTGGTAGGCCTCACCCGTAATGTGCGAGGCTTACCGGGTCCGGTTATCCAGTAGGGGCTGATGCACCCCACCACAAGCAGGGACAACCCATGTCCATGGCAGGAGGCTGCTCCAGCTGGGCTGCTGTAGCCCCACCAGGCTGGAGCAGTCCCCCTGGGCTCCTTTAATCGGTTAACTGGTTAAACATAATGTTTCACCGATTAACCAATTAAATGGGATTTTACGCCCCTAGTTCAGGGCCCCCGTTTTTAACGCTACATGGGATCAGTGGAACATTGCCCTGACAGATGCCCACAGGCGCAGTAGGGATGTAAGTGACTAATCAACTAGTCGCTTCCCCCTGCTTGCTGCCTCTATCACAAAAAGGCAGCAAAAGGGGGGAGGCGTGTTTTGTCCCATATCAGCAGGCACTCGGTAGTTTATGAATATAGAAGAGGGACCCTAAATACACACTGCAATGTGATTTTTCTCCTCCCTGTTTTATAATCCAGTGTTCAGAAACCTGATTCCAGGATATTAGTTCAGACTACAGTGGACATCTGCTGGCTCGGGAGAACTGTGATGGAAATATTGCATTGCACATACTTACTGAACAGAATGGAAAACGTGTCCTGAACCCACGGCTATAAAGTTGCCTTCTAATCTGTATTACCAGGAAGGAATACAGCTGCAGCATGTGTTTCAGAAATATTACCATGAACTGACTACATCTTCTGAAAGAGTCTGGCTTCACAGAAACAACCCAACTGAAAAACGTCACATCCCCATGAGATGCACGTCCCAACGCCCTTGTACAATGTGACAGAACTGTACCTGGTTTCTGGGAATGTTTGCTGGAATAAAAATCAGGTGATAAATTCAGCAGTGTTTGTGTTTACCACAGCAAATCTGTTTACAGACTCGGGTGTTTGTAGAAAGTAATTTGAGACTATGTGCTCAAGATGAATTTCGAGCCCTCACACACAACTTTTAGTAAAGAAAGGCTGGTGCTAACACTTACACTCACCGAGTCAGGTATCAGAAAAACTACCACGTGACCCGTGTGTCCAGTCAAACTAACCAATGCACTTCAAGTTTTGAACGTCAGGTAGTTGGAACAAGCAACTCATGAGCAAACTACTCCCGGAACAATTGTGAAAAATATTTGGTGAATAATTTCCAAAAACAAACGAAATGCAAACCAATGATGACCTACAAATTCTTTGCTCGGCAGTAAGTACTAGTCCTGGTGGATAATAATTAGCCAAGGAAAGGCTACATTTTGTTTCTTTTGGCCTTTATCATAACCATGAATCTAGCTAATCTGAAAAGCAACTTGAAAGATGTCAGACGAACCGGAATAGTTAGGCATCTCTGTAGTGAAAATAGGCAAATCATATGGAATCGTTATGCATTATGAAGATTTCCCATGACATTGGTAGATGGTTTTGAAGTGACTTAAGACAACAGGCAGAACTAGAGTCCTGACTCTCCTGTCACTGATTTACAACACAATAGTGTTCAGAAGCAAACGGAGACTGAAACAGGAATGGTGTCTTTGACTTATGGAGTAGGCAGGGTAAAACACGGGACAAATCTCACCTCATCTGTAATCTGCCCTCCGAATGTCACCCATGTTCCTATAAAGGGAAAGAAGGAAAATACTCATTCTGCAAACGCAAAACACATGCAACTTTCATTTTGCTCTGAACGGCACTGAAGACACGGAAAAGGGAGCTCCAGAGCCAATTAGTCTGTAGGTCACTAACGGAGAAACACGGGACCAACCCAAACACAGGCAGCTAGCTAGGCAGCACCAATGTGGCCCTACTGATCTGCCTTCTGAGATGTGAAACATCCCTGCCCAGAGCCTTGGGATGGGGGACTGAACCCGCATCTCAGGGCCCTCCTTTCTCTCGTGGGTCACTTAAGCTACGTCTACACTGCACAGTGATTTCGGAAGAAGCTATTCTGGAACAGTTATTCCAAAATAGCTTATTTCAGAATAGCCTCAAAATGGGTCTGAGGCCGGCTTCCCTAATGTAGACGTGCTCTCTCGATTTAGAGCCCCAGGAGGAATCACTTAAAAGGGCCTTGGTGAGGGACTATTTCGAAATAGCAGCAGTGGAGCGTCTACACGGGCCTTATTTCGAAATAGCTATTTCGGAAGAGGCGTTATTCTTCGTAGAATGAGGTTTAGAGATGTCGGAATGAGCCGTGCGTTATTTCAAAATTATTTCGAAATAACGGAATTGCCGAGTAGACGCTCACAGTTATTTTGGAATAACGGCCGTTACTCCGAAATATCTTTGCTGTGTAGACACACCCTTAGACGGTCTGCCTCTTTCTCTCATTGTGTTTGCCCAACTTGGGCAGAAGACTTGTCACCTGGATGGATGCTCCAGGGTACCAGCTGCTAGGGCTCTCCAGCACCTTCTTGCCAGGTCAAGTCCTCTCTCCAAACCGGGATGGAGCATTGTACTTCCACCCTTGCCAGCCAATTGCAACTCCCCAGCCAACCACCTGGAGGGAAGAGCCGACCAAACCACTTCCCAACTGCTAATGGAGACGAGTCTGCATGTGAAGACCCCTCTGCCTGACGTTACAGCACGAACCACCAGATCCGGAACCTGCAAGAGTTCATCTGTTTGCCATTTCCTCGGTGCAGATTTGCCGTATCTGTGCTACTCTGGAGAGTGGTTACCCAGATGCACCGAAGAAGCAGAACTCCATTCCCCCACCTGGCCAATTTGTTTCATACATCACAAAGAAGCCCGAGGGAGCCCAATTGTCCTTTGCAGGTCACGGCCGAGCTTTAAATGGAGGGTGGCCTTTGTCCTCACTGAGGGCTGGTGTCTTTGCAAGCCAAATTCTACTGTGATGCGCGCCGTGCCAAAGCGCTCGACAATCCTGTGCAGCAAATGCACAAAAGGTTCTTTCCACGTACTTCAAAACAGCATGAGCACCTGGCACTCTTGAGATGCAAAGAGATGCCTGTTTGTGAACCCAGCCCAAGTAAACCTGCCACCGCCATGCATCTGAATTCAGAAAAGCAATCCGGGACAGAGCCCTACGTGCACAGGAGGACTTCAGAGCCTGGTGATCATGCTAGTCTGGGAGGCCACGATCCAGACCGACAGGGGGAGACGCCGAGGGTTAGGACAGAACAGAAATCTGGTTGCTCAGGAACCAGCAGTTAGCAGGGAAATGCTGGATCCAGGTTCGGGATAGAGATGTCAGTGGTTATCTGGTAGGCCTCACCCGTAATGTGCGAGGCTTACCGGGTCCGGTTATCCAGTAGGGGCTGATGCACCCCACCACAAGCAGGGACAACCCATGTCCATGGCAGGAGGCTGCTCCAGCTGGGCTGCTGTAGCCCCACCAGGCTGGAGCAGTCCCCCTGGGCTCCTTTAATCGGTTAACTGGTTAAACATAATGTTTCACCGATTAACCAATTAAATGGGATTTTACGCCCCTAGTTCAGGGCCCCCGTTTTTAACGCTACATGGGATCAGTGGAACATTGCCCTGACAGATGCCCACAGGCGCAGTAGGGATGTAAGTGACTAATCAACTAGTCGCTTCCCCCTGCTTGCTGCCTCTATCACAAAAAGGCAGCAAAAGGGGGGAGGCGAGGGGGTGCTGGGGGGAGCCGGCTTAAAAGCTGGTTCCCCCCAGCTCCAGCTCCGTGGGAAATGTACAAGGGCCCCTGCTGGGCCTCTCGTACATTTCAAAGGCGGAACGTGCGCTAGTCCTTATCTGATTGAACAGGCAGCGGAAATCCCCCAGACTGTTCGATTAGTTAATCGATCGCTCGTTAACATCCCGGGGGTGCAGCATCCTACCCCTGCGATCTCCACTTGGGAGCCTGTCACTTGCTTCAGTAACGGCGGGAAAGAAATCCTCACAAAGACGGCTGCTTGCCAGAGGACACCGGGGAGGGATGGGAGCGCACCCGAAGATGGAGTCACTTACCTAGGCCAAGGCAGGACACTCGCAACCCCGATTTCCCAAGATTTCTGAAAAAGAGAAACACCAAATAGCCACTGCCGGAAACAGCCGACACGGGGCATGCCAGAGCTACACGGGACAGGCGCTGTGCGGGGCCTCACCAGTCCCTGTTCCCTGGCAAACACCACCGGGACATTCGCTTCCACGGCGACACGCAGAATGACAGGGGTTTTGGTGCCCTTCAGATGCACTCCACATGCAGCGCCGCGTACGGGAAGCCTGTGGCTAAGCCTGTGTCTTTGGATGAATCGCGAGTACGCTGCAGTCCCCAGGCACCACGGCGGCGCTGCCGCTTGTAACACTTCCCCTGAACTGCTGATCAGGAAACGACGGTCTTCACTACCAGGAAATTCTGCAGCTACGTACGTGCATGTATAGCGAGAGGAAGCGAGACCTCCCGACTGTCGAAAAAAGGCAATGCCATTTTAAATAAAATAAATAAAAGATAACTTTTACCCTCTTGGAAGGTCATTTCAGTAAAAATTTAATGACAGTTTTATGATCCCATTCTTCCCAACCCCTGACCCCCACCCCGACATGCTTTCTGGCAGTGGTGGCCGTCTGGGTTTGCGAGCTGCGCCTATGGGACTATTTAGTCTTCGTACTGAGTTGAGAAAGTGGAACTCTGGAAATTAGGGGCATTGTTAAGGATTTTATGAAGGACGCACTCTAAAGACCATGCAAACACAACCAGTCAGTAGTGGTTATTGGCATGACACTGAACAACCGTCTTGCAACCAACCAACCAACCAAACTCATGTTGGCCATCAAACATATAAAACCACAAGCTACAGACTGAACCTCTCTAGTCCGGCACGTTTGGGACCTGGCCATTGCCAAACCACGGGCGGTCAATATTGTCTAGCAGCTTTACCAACGCTGCCACTGCTTACTGGGCTCTTAGAAAACATTGAGGGGTAAATTTGAGCTAAATAACAGCCCAGAACACTGAGAGCCAGGAGTGGTGGCTGCAAACAAACTTTATGGGACCACGAGAAACTTGGCCACCCCCATGCTAAGTGGAGATCCAGTTAACTAACATCCTGCCGGACCACGGATGCTGCTGGACCAGAGAGGCTTAACCTGTACTATGATTACACTAGTCCCCTTCATACAAGGACATATGTAACCCCCTGAATAATTTGGATCGAAGAGCCTGCGGCACATCTGTGAGTTACAAGAATTGAGCTAGCACCGACAGAAGATGCACAGACAGACAGATTGTGAATGAGGACAGCTGAATTTACCTGAATCAGACAGCTAGTGTAACTGTTCTGAGATGACCTGGTGGCTGGGAACCCCCACCCACAAACCTATCAACCTGGGTCGCAGGACTCTAAAGAGCTTTGGGTGGCCAAATTCAAACCTAGGAAAAAGACAGAGCAAAACAAAAGCAAAGCAAGAAGGTAATGAGAACATGGTAGGGATTGAAATAACAATGAGGAAGAGAGCTATAAACACAAGGTAAAAATCAGGAATACACTGGATTTGAAGACAAATGGATAAAAATGAAAGAATGAAAATCAGCAGCACAAAGAATCACTGAAATGTAGAACTAGAAGGGACTTTGTTAGGTTATCTAGCCCAGTTCCCTGCTCAGGGCTAAGTGTTATAGAGACCATCCTGGATACTAAAACAACGAAAGCAAAAGATAGGTGTTACCCATTCTACCCCCCAAATTAATGGACACGGATTGAGAAGCTATTTAGTTAAAGGAGGAAGAGAAGATGACTTCTCCCCTACTCAGATGAGGGATTAGAGAATAATTGATAAGGTCAAGTAACATTAGTCTTTTCCTAATTTTACAACCCAAACGGGAGAGAAATATCAAAAGAGACAATACAGAGAGAAAGTGGGACTGGAAAGGTTTCTGTTTCTTAGACACTGGGGCTATATCTACACTAGCGGGTTCTTGCGCAAGAACATCTTGTGCAAGGGTTCTTGTGCAAGAAGTCTTGTGCAAGAACACATCCACACTGCTGTGTGCGAGATGTGCTTTTGTGCAAGAGCATCCATGGCAGTGTGGACGCTCTCTTGCGCAAGAGAGCTCTGATGGCCATTTTAGCCATAGGATTTTCTTGCGCAAGAAACCCCTGCTCTGCGTCCACACTGCCTTCTTGTGCAAGAGCTCCTGCGCAAGAGAGCTTACACCTGTTAGAAAAGAGCGTAGCTCTTGCGCAAGAAGCACTCTCTTACCACGCCGTATTGTAAATCTTCTTGCGCGAGAGTGGGCGGGCAGTGTGGACGCTCTGCGGAATCTTGCACAAGAATCCGCCTGTGTAGACATAGCCAGTATGTTTAGTTATCACCAATTGAAAAACAAAAGCTCTCTGAAATTTGTGAGTCTCAACAGAAAATGTACTGTTTTGCATACAGCACACCTGCAGGGATAAAACAAAAGCAACAACCCATGAAATCTCTGAACAGGTATTTTTAATATTAATCAGATTTTCCAACTTGCAAATTAACTAAGCAGGACAGAGTGAAACAAGGAAAAGGGCATTTCAAGACATGTACCTGTGATACCCAATACTCGTTTCCTGGGCAAACGCTCAAAGCTCAACAATGAGCATAAAAATGAAACTCTTTAGGCTCATTAAACATGGAAAATCAGCCACATTTTAGTGGAAAATAAATCCCTAAGTGCAAGGTTTTTAGACACATGATTCACTTAGACAACAGGCAGCTGCTGACATTCTGAATGCTACATTGGCACGATAATTTAAAGTGGCAGTAGCAGTGACCTCATTCAATCTGATTTATACGCTCAGGTCAGAAACATTATGGCACCCAACTATTTTCTGACAGCAGTTTTTAAAGAGAGAGAGAGAGCGAGAGAGAGCGAGCGAGAGAGAGAGAACACACAAACTGTAGTAGGGTAAACATACTATAAGGTGCATAACTGCCTGGATAACGGTACTCAGAGAGTAGTTATTAATGGTTCACAATCCTGCTGGAAAGGTACAACAAGTGGGGTTCCGCAGCGGTCTGTTTTGGGACTGGCTCTGTTCAATATCTTCATCAACGATTTAGATATTGGCATAGAAAGTACGCTTATTAAGTTTGCAGATGATACCAAGCTGGGAGGGGTTGTGACTGCTTTGGAGGATAGGGTCATAATTCAAAATGACCTGGACAAATTGGAGAAATGGTCAGAGGTAAACAGGATGAAGTTTAATAAAGACAAATGCAAAGTGCTCCACTTGGGAAGGAACAATCAGTTTCACACAAACAGAATGGGAAGCGACTGTCTAGGAAGGAGTACGGCAGAAAGGGATCTAGGGGTCAGAGTGGACCACAAGCTGAATAGGAGTCAACAGTGTGATGCTGTTGCAAAAAAAGCAAACATGATTCTGGGATGCATGAACAGGAGTGTTGTGAGCAAGACACGAGAAGTCATTCTTCTACTCTACTCTGCACTAGTTAGGCCTCAGTTGGAGGATTGTGTCCAGTTCTGGGCACCACATTTCAAGAAAGATGTGGAGAAATTGGAGAAGGCCCAGCGAAGACCAATAAGAATGATGAAAGGTCTAGAGAACATGACCTCTGAAGGAAGGCTGAAAGAATTGGGTTTGTTTAGTTTAGAAAAGAGAAGATTGAGGGGGGACATGATAGCAGTTTTCAGGTATCTAAAAGGGTGTCATAAGGAGGAGGGAGAAAACTTGTTCATCTTGGCCTCTGAGGATAGAAGAAGAAGCAATGGGCTTAAACTGCAGCAAGGGAGGTTTAGGTTGGACATTAGGAAAAAGTTCCTAACTGTCAGGGTGGTCAAACACTGGAATAAATTGCCCAGGGAGGTTGTGGAATCTCCATCTCTGGAGATATTTAAGAGCAGGTTAGATAAATGTCTATCAGGGATGGTGTAGGCAGTATTTGGTCCTGCCGTGAGGGCAGGGGACTGGATTCGATGACTCTCGAGGTCCCTTCCATTCCGAGTATTCTATGGAAACAAATGACACCTACAACATGAGTATATACTTTGGTGAACAGATAGGATCTTTACAACCTTACAATTTAACTCCCCATCTTAAAAGGGCTTTAAAATATTAATTAATAGGACTCAGATAACTTAACCCCACTTCTAAGAAGGGAACATGCATGAGGAGAGACGAAGAGATTCGCCCAAAGCTACAGGAGAAGCCAATATCACAGCTGGCATTCCCACCCCAGGAGCGCCTGACTCCTGCTTGTGTGTCCAGAACTCCCGCTGGTCCCTCTCTCAATAAACCAGTTCACCTTGGAGTTAAAACCTTAGAAACAAATAGATTTCCACAGCTATTTCCATAACAGCATGACACTGCAAATAGGGGGTGTCTGGAAAAACGCACGCCGACTGCCGGGCCTTCGTTCGCTCTGCCCCAGGTCTGCTCAACCGCGTGGCCTGGCTACACCGGATGGACCTGGGAGGCATCAGGTTCAGAACCTCGCTTACGTCTACACTTGCCCCCTACTTCGAAATAGGGAGGCAAATGAAGCATACCGAAGTTGCAAATCAAGCCTGGGATTTAAATATCCCACGCTTTTGATTTGCATGTTCCCGACCGGTCGCCATTTTAGAAATTCACTAGCCCGGAGTAACTGCCCGCGTCTACACGTGGCAGTGAAATAGGAGTCTGATTTAAAGCCCCTAATTCGAATTAGCTGGTAAACCTCACTGCAGGAGGAACCTCGCTGTAGATGAGGGCAGTTACTCTGGCCTAGTGAATTTCTAAAATGGCGACCGGTCGGGAACATGCAAATCAAAAGCGTGGGATATTTAAATCCCAGGCTTGATTTGCAACTTCGGTATGCTTCATTTGCCTCCCTACTTCGAAGTAGGGGGCAAGTGTAGACTTACCCTCAGAGAATAAAACCGAAAAGATAAGAAACTGCTCAGGAAAGCCAGCTGGCTTGAGACACCCGTTGACGTACCCAGACGTCTCTGCTGTGCAGAGCAGGGCTGGTCTCTGAGGGCAGGTACAAGGGATGATGGAGTTTAACCGGTTGTCTGGTAAGCTGATGCTTATCG